GATCTTCAGATTTCTGTAGTGAATGGAGCAGTAATACGGTTCCTCATTAAGGGACATATAAATGGCGTTCTTTATGATGTGGCCATTGATACAGGAGCCAGTTAGCATCATCCGAAAAACTCTATCTCATGAGCGGAAGTGTGCTGAGAATGGGAGGTAAACTTATCTGGACATCCACTTTATATTATCCTCCAGACTGTGTGTCCGATGCCAGATTCGATATCGATGGAACGTTAAACATTAACATCATGTTTGGGAGTGCCGACTACCATCACACGACATACGTGGCAGATATTACAGATCCATGCATACTCGTTTTATACTTTCTAAGGGAATAAGACTTTACCTTTAAAAATAATTAACTATATTTTAATCTAAAGGATATAACCCTGTTCGGAATTAGACAAAGGATTTGAAACGGGTAAATAATAACTCAAGAATTTTTATAGCTCGAAAGGAGCACTAGTAGCCTCGACACTCATTGTTCTATCGAAGACCTTAATCCCAGTGAGTGTTGTTATTATAAGAGATAAAGAGAAAGTAATTGAGTTTTTGAGTGATTAAGTGTGTGCTCCAGTGACCTATATTAAATTAACAAACAGTCCTCTAATAACTGAGTCTTCAGAAAGCCTAACATCAAAGTTACTACAGGATGTAAAAATAAGCAATGGAAAGAGGAGTGCTGCAGAACGTGTCATTCAAGAACTTCAAGATTTTTTCTTCCACGTATGTTCTGATCTAGCATGAAAGAGATTGGCACTGCATAAAATAGATACAAGGGATCATCCGCAAATTAAGAAACATCCAAACCGGCTACTGACTGCTAAACACCGCAAACCTGCCTGTAAATACAAATCGGAGATCAAGTGGAAATGAAACCCATGCAGTTTGGACTTGGGCTGTGTTTCTACTTCGACCCAAGTACATCGGTCCTTATTTGAGATCATCGAATTTCATCCCTCTGATCGTTAAGCTGTAAAGTTAGGACGTCATGAAGGAGCAACTATAACATCAACTGCTGCTGATAAAATGAAACGGTGATGCACAAACTGAACATTCATCATGAAGGCATGAATTACCTTCTTTTTCCGCTTCTTTTATCTTTTCAGATGTCTTGTATTCTTCAACCAGCCGCAGTGGACCACTTCTAGGAGAGACACGAGACATGAGCAACGATGAAATTTGAAAAAAGGAAGAACAGTGAGTGATTATTATGATGATATTCCGTTTCTTATGATGCCATGCGCCGACTTGCTCTTCTTACTCCGTTTTATTTTTATGTATTATCTTTATGTTAATTTCGTCTATTACGTTCGCGTGTTTGCGTAATTCAGTTACTGAATGTTAATGCTTTCGCTATAGATCTAAAGTACAACCATAACAGCATTTATGTATATATATATATAAGGGAAATATTATATATATATTCAAAAATATATGTTTTAATGTCCTCTGTTTAATGCTTCAGAATTTGTCAAGAGGAAAAAGTGTTTCAAAGCTTTAAACCAGGTTGATTAATGAGTTCCAAATACATGTTTCTTTCCTCTGAATTAAGCGTTGAGCGTTCAGCAGAGGAGATTAATACATATATTTTTTAATTTTCAGTTTAGTTTACGTATTTGAAGTTTCTTTTAAATTTACATGTACTCCTTCTGGTTACGCCTTTCCTGGAGAAAGAATTGGTTAGGGCCTTCATAAAGAAGAAATTATAATTTTCATTTTAGTTCCGACTTTGCAATTTTTAATTTCGTTATTTTCGGTCTAGCAACACCCGCGCAAGTTCGTTTCTTTGCTTTTTAAAACTTAATTTTAAGATTTCGTTTTGGACTTTCTTAGCACTTATATAAGCATACATAAATATGTATGTTTACTTAGCATATATGCTTAGCATATATACTTACTTAGATATATAAACATACATAAATTTCAAAAGCTATTGCATAAACTCCAGTTTCTTATCCTTGTGTAAAGGAGGATTAAAAATTTTTCTTTGAACTCATGAAGCAAGGATTTTATTGTACTATTAATAGATATGACAATTCCGTAAAAACAATAATAGTGAAAGGAAGAATATTGGAAAAACTGTAAAAAAACAGTTATGCATCTTAAGAATAATACTGATGAATTTATTTCTCCACAAATTTTGTTTTGAAATCAAATTTTCTCCCAGCTCTATAGTGGTCATGAATCGAACTGTAGCCTGTGCGCCATATATTATGTACTCAAGTAAACAAAGAAATGGTACTTGTTCTCCTGATTATAATATTACTAAGAAGTAAAAAATCTAAATGATTTAAAGCATAAACTTTCTAAACAACAACACAAAGAAATTTACCAGGGAATTTTTTAATAATCCGAATCATAAATTTGAAGAATTCCACCAAGAAGAAGGGAAAATTCACTGAAAAGAATTCCTAGTTAACACAAAAAATAAGGAATTAAAAAAAAAGAAATGACAACTCAAAATAATTGGTAGAGCTCAAACAATCCAAATGTGGAAGACGATTAACAATGGATATGATCAAATTAACTTAAAATAAAGATCTGAATTAACTGAGAATGAATTACAAGAAGAAATAGATATTTAAACAATAGAAAATTATCAACATATTTTTTAACCCTCCTCAAACTAAAATACACAATTAAAACTACTAAGAATATAATTACAGTCTTTAACTTAGGAACTAATGCAGAACGAATTTGTATTGACATGCGAAGTCACGTGATCATACGTAACTATGATGTCGCAATATCACGTTATTTCTGATCTCACGCGCTATTTTTTACAACTTTCGTTTCTTTTCCTGTTACGTTAACTGAAAAATGTCTAAGAACACTGTCAGACTGTAAAATATTTTATTAATGGATGCAAGATGAATGGTAAAATTGATCTGCCTTTTGTTACACATGAGGATAGCAGAGAAAGCGGTGCCAAACAGTACAGGATTATCAACAAACGTTCAGGCTGAGTTGCTATGCTTAAATAATCGCCATAAAATGAATTAAAATTTGTTTTACTGCTTTGAGATCCCGTTTGTTGGTTTCAGTATTCCGAGTTTGTTGGTTTCAGTATGTAGTTGGTTTCAGTTCAGTATTCACTTGGTTTCAGTTCAGTATTCAGTTGGTTTCAGTTCCGAGTTTGTTGGTTTCAGTTAAGTATTCAGTTGGTTTCAGTTCCGAGTTTGGTTTCAGTATGTAGTGACTTGTGTTTCCTAGCGTAAATTAATATCTCAGACGAGTTTGTTCTTGAAACTCGGGCCATTACCAAGATTTTGCAAGTCTTTAAGATCCGCATTCATTTTGCTTATATTTACACCCCTCGTGGAAATTTTGGGATTGAGTGAGATGATGCTTTAACGAAATTAACCACGTAACTTCGCACTGATTTTTAGCCTTAATATAATAGCTCATACTTAACACTCCAATTTCTCTCTCGAAGCGCTTTTATAGGAAAGATATTATCTACATTTCTAACAGAGAATATCGTGCATCGCGAACATTATAACATGAGATAAAATCTTTTTTTTTTCTTTCTAATACTGGTGCCTATTCGACAATGGCCACTAAGGCCAGAAGTGGTAGCTATTTTATTCTGGAGGCACGTAATAAGCGGCAACCGTTGATTCCTATGATGGAATAGAATATTATAACCATGCTTTCTCCGGGATTCGAATCCGGGGTTTTTGGTATCGCAATCGGCTCCGCTAACCACTATACCGTATGGACGACCAGATAAAAATGTTTTATTCTACAGTTTTTCGGAGAATAAAAGTTAAATAACATTTGCAAATTTTAAATTAACTCAAATTTTGCCTGAATATGCAATTTTATGAGTTATTTAAAGCGAAATGTGTTTACTGTAAGTTCGCTGCCCAACTACGGTATCAGAAATGAAGTTATCAGCCATATTCATGAATCCATTCATCATACCTAACCATGGAAGATACTTTAGACTACTAAAAGAACCTGTGTAGTAAACCCTATTCCGTACTGCCCAAAGAAAGCCTTCCCGGAAGTTCTTAAGTAATAATAAAATAGACAGCTTATTATGATAATAATAGATGATGCTATATGAAGTCAGAAACATAATTTTTATGCCCCCCACACTGGAGTCATATCATACTCGGAGATTACGTCGCCATATTCAATTACATCCCCACGTTGCACTTCGTAGTGGGTTTTTTTTTTTTTTTTTTTTTTTTTTTTTTTTTTTTTTACTTGTGGCTATGACAGTTTTTTCCTATCTTGAACCACGCATTTAGAGAAGGGATCATCATTCTTCCTTCTTTTTTAATTGATTTACTTTTATTAATTTTAGTTATATTAATTATGAGTGAACTTCTCTATATTCGTTTAATGCATGTTTTTAAATTACGATGATTCTTAAATATTAATCGATATAATTACAAGAGTTTTTTGTAGAGAAGTGTAGACCTAGCATCAAGCCTGCTGTAGAGAGATGACGTTTTTATCCATTGAGTATGTCGAGGCACTGAAAGCTTATCGCCTTTTCATAGCGATAATCATGATGTTACTCACAAAACAGGAATTTAAACCGGAAAGCCGTTAGTTTTTTTAGAAAATGTTTCTTTCTATGTGTAAGAAAATAGAAATTTAGTGATAAGAATTCATATTAGAAAGCATATCATATAACATCTGGAAGAACAATGCATCTCTTATAATTCCTTTTCAGATATGTTTCCTTTTGCTGCAGTAGGGCATTCTTTTGCTTCACTTTCTCCAATTAAAGAGAATTTGAGAACGCTGATGATTGCCAGGGTACTTATTTTACATAAAATCCGCATCCAAATTCGTGAATCATAGGCACGTGTGTTTTGCAAGCTTTACGAATTTAGTTCCAAATATACTAAATCCTATTGCAAATGATGAATTTAAACTTAAAACTCGTGCATATAACTGAAACATAATTATTTTTAAATAAATAAAGAGCTTTCAGAGAGCGCAGGTATAATCCTTTAGGACTTAAAATTAAAACTCACCCAAACACAGGAATTTAATAGGAAGTGCAGCTTCTACGTAGTATTTCCGCATAGGGCAACAAGACTCCTCTCCTGATTCCAGGAATTTCTTTATAACGCATGACATAATACATATCTGTTCAAAATAAAGCATAATAATGTACATTTACACACATACACACATATATATCTATATATATATATACAGTACAATGTTCGAGATTCGGAAGTCCAGTATCCGGAAGGATTTAAAATCCGGACCTTAAAGCCACCAACAATCTTTTTCTTTTAGGAATTTTCTTTGTCTGCTTTACGCATGCGTATTTAATTTTTTCCCCATAATAAATCATGAAAAAATTCTCAATTCTTGATTTCACTTCGGCACTAAATAAAATACCTCGTTTCTGAAGAAAGAAGCATTTTAGCATAAAGTTGTGTGATCAGTAATTTGACTCCGTAGGTGCATACTGCTTGGCATGCATCTCAAACCGAAACATTGTACATAGAAACATTGTTGATTTTACATCCACTAGTATTTTATATCCATGATGTCATGCTGGGGAATCATTATTTATTATAATTTGCATGTTTATCAACACATGACAACTTGAGTAATGATTCATGCAGCAATGTCTAAACGATTTTTAATCCTTGTACGAAGTAAAAAGGAAGTATTGTAATCGCGAAAATTTTCAATTATTAATTTGATGTTTTCTTATACTTGCTGCGCTTATACAGTGATGAAACTTACCTTTACAAGTCACAGTATCTGTGCAGATTCAGTTACTTGAAAAGTAAAGTATAAACTAATTACAAATTATGTAGATATTTCCTATCAAAATTATTCTGAAAATTCTGATAACTTAAAGGTCCAAGTTCTATCTGACAATGACTGCACTTGAATGTGAATGTTAGGATTGCAATAGCTTTGCTGAGAATGGTTCCAGAGATCATGTGCAGGTAAGGTAGTTTCTGTGTAGGAGATCTGGAACAACAGGCCTTATTCATCGATCATGCTCTGAAATAATGTAATTTAAAATATTTGCGAAGTCTGCTTGATTTTCTGTTATGATTTTCTGGCAGAAAGTATTGTTGATTCTCTTTAGATACTTTGCAAGGTGTTCCAATTCTAAGATCTTATGAATGGTTTAGTTTTTGAAGAAATACGGCGCATCTGAGATAGTGCGAAGTATTTTGCTCTGCAGGAACTGCAGTTTCTAGATTTCGTTGACACTTGCGTCCGTTCACGCGGGAGAAGCACATGTAATGATCAGCCGAATGACGAAAGTTTAAATCATCTTTTTTCTTGCCAGGAAGAGATTAGGACATTTGAGCCAATAAAAAGCCTAATACTTGTTTCGTATCCCTTGTTCCGAGCTTTAGCGCCGTGAGTGGAGCAGGGGAAGGAACAGTTAAGCTGATACCGTGATATTTCGCTTTGTCAGAATTGGTAATTTGCCTTCAAAACAGGCTGGCATTGTTTTGGATTTCCTTCCTGTGTATGAGCTCCGAAATACCTTGGATTTTGTGGACCGAAAATTGATTTTCTAGTTGCTATACTAGCATTCAATTTCAGGAATCTTTTCCTGTAGCTTAACAATTTTTTGTTCTGGTTTACTGGATTTAACAATAGTTACTACGTCAGTAACGAGCGACTAGGAAGTTACGACCTGTGGAGATTTTAGAAAATCGCTTGCATAAATTACGTACAAAATTGATCCTAAAATAGACCCCTGCGGTGTACCTGCATGAATATTTTTGGAGTTGGAGATGGTATCTCCGTTTTAACTGCAGAATTCCGCTTCTTTAGGAACAAACTGAATATGTAACGATATCTCATAAGAAATGCAAATTTATCATTTATTGTCTGTGTTGTGTATGGTAGACGCCATCGAAGGCTTTGGCCATGTCTAGCACCAGAATTGCGTAACCATTTTATTAAGTTTATTAATTTAACAGATTTATTTTAATAACACTTGTAATTTACAAAACTTGGCCTCTGGTAGCTATTTGAAATAGCATAAGTGAAATTGAAATTGAAGTAACGTAGTCGGAGACTAGAGATATGTAATAAATTCTGTAGATAACTTGATGATTAAAAGATAGCTTTTAACGATGAGATGATATCTGTAGTAACTTAGAAAGGCCTTTAATGCATAGATTCCATGGTGACATAACGAGGAGAGGCTTGACCAAACACAATGCGTTAATTTATTCGTGGACATTCTAGCACAAACATATTCACACATAAGTTTGGCAGCGATAAGCAATCTTCATGTGTTCATATGATGGATCACATCATCAGACAATGGTGAAGCAGAGAAGTGAAGAGCAAAGTGTTTGCACAGCGAAAGGAAGACAGGAAAAGTAAATACGCATTTCAGAAAAGCATATTTATAGCGTTGAAACCTTTGTTTAAAGTTTGAATGGTGACTGGATAAGAGCTATTGCATTGCAAATAACAAAACGCAGATTAGCTTTCGAATGATACCCTTTAGGTTCCAGGAAGGAAACGTAGCAATTTAAAATGAGGAATTTAGCTAAATTAAAGACAGTAATTTTTTTTCATATTTGATATCTTATATAATACCCTCCTTCAAGAAAAAAAAATGTTTGACGTTAGAGAACCGTTTTTTTTAGAAAAATTATTAGAACATTAGCAATTGAAGGTAAATTATATTCAATGTGCACAATATTTGTTTTTTCAATAAGAAAGTAAAGGATTTTCTTGATATAGCCTTTAGGTTTCACTGTGCCCCATGATTTTGTTCATGAATTTTCTCATATCTTAAACATATAAACACTAGTTATAAGTTTTAATAAAGAAAGTAAATATAAAAAATATTATATACTATCTAAACTAAATGTACAGTACAATTTTTAAAACAACGTAACATCGTTTCCTGTAAAAATCGATATCTTTAAAGTTCCTGAACATTTTCCCTCCAACCATTATATAGTTCAAAATTTGGAGTTCTAATTTTTTCACGCAATAATTCAAAAACATTCACAGTTCTTGGAAGTCTTTGCTTGAATATTATACTGTAAATTTTATAGTGCTTGTCTTGAAAGCCTCTTATAAAAACACTGTATTCAGTATAAAACCAAAATATTTCTGTTGCATATTCATGAAATGCATGAAATTATTTACTCATTATAAAACAAACCGTATTTTCTTATTATAAAACAAAGCAAAATGTAGTTTATATTAATAAACAGAAAACAAGCTGATGGCTGTAGGATAGTTAAATACAACAGCATATAAAATCTTCCCTACTTTATGCAAAGTAATTGGCTTTTAACATTTTATAATTGCATCAAAATTATAAACGCTATGATGTTCCCAAAATATGTATTCAGAATGATTTTCACAAAGGTACAGATACAGGTAAAAGTACGGGAGATACCAACGGTTTACCATCATGCCTTCCCATACTAACTAACCCCCCCCCAAAAAATCCCATGCTTTATACGTGTTTACAAAAAAGTTGTGAAGATGAGCAACTGAAGTATTTCAAAGGATTTAGTGTTTGCTTACTATGGTACATCAAGCAATCCCCAACTACAACTTGTATCCACTATTTACTAAAAATTATAAATTAGGATATAAAGATATTACAATATAATTCCAAAACATTTGAAATTTACAAATTAAATTGAGACCATCTCTTTTGATACAACACAAATAACAGATAAACATGATGAGATAAATATAATAAGCACTGTAACACAATGTTTAATGAACACTATAATAGTCATTCTAAACATATGTCCACGGGGTCAAATCGCTTGAGAATAACATCAGAAAACACTGTGATTAGGAATGGGAGAGTTCAGGAATGTGAGAATGCAAAAATTGAGAAATAATTTTGATAAGGAATCCACACAATATTTAAACATGGTATGCTGGAGCAGGTTATTACAGTTTGTAAATTCACAAATGGAATCCTTTTGTACATATTCGCAGGATGTAAAAGTCTTTAAGTTTATGCAGCATGGGAACTTAAATTTAAAATAGATCTACGTAGGAAGAGAGTCGTTGAATAATGTTTGAAACTTAGAATACTGATGCTTACCTTTAATTAGAAATGTTTGGAATGCCAAGACATCAGTTTTGCGAGATTTTATGTGAATATCCTCAGTTAAAAGGCATGAGAAATTGTAATGATCACGAGTTGTATATTCGCCACATATACAGATGTCGGAGTTCATCATATTTTTTGCTTAGAAGTATGGGTTCAAATGTCCTTGTCTTGTTATATAGTAATTTAATGAAGGATTCGAGTACAAAGATGCGAAGCTTAATTGAGAATCAAATTACATGTGGGTCTACTCTGTGAAGCCTTATTCCAGTAAATTTTATATTTGAAGTAAGTTGTTTTAATTGTTTTTCAAACTGAATGAGGCCATGGAAGGATGGTTTCAATAAAAGTATGATTAAGAGCTGCTTCTTTGGCTGATTTATCTGTCTGATAATAGTCTGTCTGATTACGAAATAAATACTATGTCATTTGATCCACGAAATATGGGGTTTTTGTAGCTTGGAATTAAAACATGAAGAGAATTTATGTCGAAAATAGTGGAGAGAAAAGTAACGGATTTTTAATTGCTAAAACAGCTGCCTGGTAGTCAGATTTCATAGTAAATTCTTTAAGATTTTTGAGAATGGCTATTTCAATTCCTGCTCTTACGGCTGACAATTCAGCCTGAAAAATACTATTATTTTTATCGTGATAACCGTTCCATTTGATGATATGAAGGGACACTTTGAAAGTAGATTGCTAAACCCTCTTTTTCTTCAATTTTTAATCCATCAGTATACGGAATTGGAGATAAACGACTTTCGCCAGACATGGAGAATTTCATTTTCCTGAAGCAAGCGCTGGTTGAATAAGATTGGAACTTGCAAAGTTTTTGCAAAGTTGAATTGCTGCTAAATTCTGCAACGCTGGTTACGCTGAATGCGACTAGTGTAGGCGCTTTCCATTTATGCATTGATTAATAGTAGAAATGCACTAGCTAAAGTATCAATAACTATATTTGAAATTGTGCGATACGCTCAAGTTATGCAAAGAGATAAAGAGCTTTGAATTCAATTTAAATATTTTTTCACTGTCATTGGGGGCGCCTAATCTC